ATGCATATGCACATATCATTCAGTATTATGGTACTTAGTTAAAAGTAATATATAYGTTTCCCCCTGTGTGTAGATTGTGATTGTGCAGTTCGGAGGGAAGCCCTTCAGCTGTCAACCTCTGAACCTGGAAAAGTGGATGTGGTGCATCTTTCTCGGAATGGGAGAGCTTGTCTGGGGACAGGTAACATGCATGTTATCATCTTGCTTCCAGTCTTGTCTCTGAATTATTACTAAAAGAGTTATTCCTTGTTTTTTAGGTGATAGCAACCATACCAAACAGCAAGCTGCGCTTCCTGCGTCGAGCTGGCCAGTTAACTCAGAAAGATGAGCTACCTGAGGAGGATGTAAACGAGGAAAACGATGAGATCGACCATGCAGAGAGGGAGCTGAGGAGAGGACAGATCCTGTGGTTTAGAGGTCTAAATCGCATTCAGACTCAGGTGAGACTTTAATTACCTAAACGGGTTTTGGGAAATTGATCTGATCTTAAGGAACACTAAACGGCTACACTTCTTAAGACTTATTTTGAGCATTTGTTTTCCAAAAAAATAATAAATGCATTGGATTTTATTAATATTTTTAACAAATTGTCAAAAAGGTATTCATCACCCAGCAATAAACACAAAAAGGTCAACATTTCACTTGTGACTGATTATTTTGTGTATCATAAAATTGTTTTTTTCCCATGCTTTTTTCATATGGTCAATTTTTCTAAAATCAGTCAGCCTGTGGTTTTAATTTAATCGAACATTCTCAAAAGAAAATGCTAGATTATGACATGCTATGTTCATCTCAGTCACAGCCTTAAAGTCATTTTATCTTAAGATGACTTATTTAGGAACATGAAGATGCAGCTTTCCCTTGGTGGATGACAGCGATCACCTTTGTGGACTGCTGGACCAGAAAAAACATCGACTTTAAATACAACAGGAAAGAGTTCCTGGGCTGTTCTCACTGTGATCACCTCTACAGACCGATATCACTGTGACTTTCAGGATGCCGTTGCTTTTGTGTTGAACCTTGTTTCATCTGTTTGTAAAGCTGTTACTCGGTGTTGTATGTCAATAATTAGCAGGCAAACATGGCAGTAAAAAAACAAAACAGAAACTAACAAGGAGATCTCCAGACAATAATTAGCTACATCTTTGGTTTTTTTTCTGACAACTACAGCATTTGGCTTAGTTAGTGATGTCATTAGAATTACCACTTTTGTTACATATTTAAGTGTAGTGTACACTAGATGTTCAAAAGAGCAAGAAAACCCAAATTTGTACTAAAGTTTAGTTGTTGCTTTTTTATTCCACAGTTACAATGCAGGGCAAAAGATGTGCAGATGGCGTCTGTGTAGTTTGACATCATACACAGTCTAGGTGTTTAAAAGGGTGAAACGCAGATTGCAGGAAGCTAATCAAGCTAATCAATTGCAATTTGCAAGTTTTGCTGTTGTTGTCATTCTCGTTTGTGAAATCCGGTTCAGAGCAACTACATTGTTTTAGTATTGGAGAAAAAAAAAAGCATGAGCCGAACATTAAGCATGGTATCGATTTGATGTTTCTTCTCGTGTGGGACATTTTGTTTATGTGGGGATACCACACCCTACCCTTTACCCCTCCACACACCCTCCCCCATGTCTCATGACTGCAACACTTTACCCAGCCAGTCAACCTGTGTCGCCATTTGGTTCATGTCACTCTGAGCAGCCATTTGTCCTCTCCTGTCCCGTTCTCCCCCCACAGATTGAAGTAGTCAACACCTTCAAGAGCGGCACCTCCTTTCAGGGGGCAGGGGCTCTGAGACGCCAGTCATCCACCACCAGCCAGACCCAGGATGTAACCAATGTTTCTAGTCCTAGTCACGTGTCCTTGTCCAATGCCCTTTCCTCTCCTACAAGCACTACTGCTGCTACTGCTCCTTCCACTACTGGCCGTGAGTCAGAACTCTGTCAGTCTGCTTGTCTGCTCTCCTTACTTCAGGGGTGCCATCCAGTCCTGAGCAACCATTTCTAGATAAAAAAAATCATCTGTTAACAAATTGTCACAAGTTTTTCCATTCTAATGTTGGCATCTCTGAAGATTTATTTTATATATATACA